AGCTTCACAGGATGAACGGAAATAGGGATATACATATTCTGAGCCTGATAAGCTCCTCTGATACAAGACATGTGCATTTAGTTGAAGTCTTGAAATACCTCAGTAGGGGGGGGGAAGGTAAAAAAAAAGTGCCAAATCCATATCTTCCTATTGAACAAAAATAATGATTTTAAGCTGTACTTTTATGCAGGACTATATGTGGTATACATCTTAAAAAACCAGTCCGCAATGAAAATACGGTTTATGTAAGGATCTGAAATACAAATCTTAAGGTAGAGTAAAAAATAATTTAATTAGCAGCATGAAGTATTGTCTGGACAATCTCAGGAAAGAAGTTCTAATGCAGACAGCTCACAGTGCTACTTCTTTTCTGAAGGAAGTCACTGCTAATCAAAAGGTCATTCCAAAGAGATGAAATAATTTCCCTACTGTCACTAAAAAAATGCAAAGGGAATTCAGTGCAAGACATGTATTTCTAGAGCTCAGGAGGATGCTAATATTTGATGCATGTCCTATTCTATTATATTCATAGGAATATTATAGTAAAACAGACATGAAATCAAGAGCAATTTTTTTCTTGCAATATTTTCATAAACAGTCCCATTGATTGGGAAGGACATGTCTACACTAGAATCTCCATCGTAGTTTATTGTTGATACCAATGGTATGAGCTCTAAAATAGACAAGCCACTTTGTATTACAGTGTGAAACCACACAGCACTAAATTGCTGGCAGGTGCCTTATCTTAACCCCCTTTCACCCTCTGAATTTGTCGCCAAGTGCAAAAGAAAAACCCCAATGATATCCTATACAAATGAAATAAAGCACAGATTCCAATGCTTTAAAAACATTTAGAATTCTTCCTCATATGGCAGGGTTAGGGGAAAAAAATCTCTGAAATTATTAAGCTATAAACTCAGGAAAGTTTATAATCCTTCCAAATCTGTATTCTCCTATAGTTGATAAAATGGATTGGCAGGATTTTGTGTATATTTTGTCCTCTGACTTTCTAGGAAAAAAACAGCATCTTCCCAAGGCTGCCAAAAAGCTTTTGGTTTAGAACTGTATCTAATGACTATGAGGATGGGTCTTACTGTTGACATTCTAGTTTCTGGCCACATGTGACTTAAATTTAGAAATCAATGCATGTGTTACATGATGCAGTTACATGTGAAACTCCCATCTTGGAGCCTTAAGCCTTGGCCTAACAAACAGTGACCTTTGCACTGATAATCATTGAGGAAGCCCTGGAAGGCAGACTCCTAGCTGATGAGTCACTCTTCCACAATTTGGTTGCTTTATCATTTTCTGATGCAGCTGATGGGAAGATATTTTCTGCAGTTCCCAGCATGTTGCCTTGCTTGATAGAAACAATGATCTACAAGGATTTCCTGAGGAACTGCCCTGTGTAGCATGAGAGTTTTCTCCCTACCTAACTGCCACCAGAGTGTTTGTCACATTCCTGCCCCTTCACATACAGCCTTCAGGCAGTGGGGGGGGGGGTCCCTCAAAAGATGTTCATGAGGAAAGTAAGCAATCCTAAGGCAAGGCATCAGTAGTAAACTGAAAGTGTGGGCACAGCCAGACTAAGGCAATCCAATGGCCTAAACATGTAATAGCAAAGGGATCTCAACTGGCCAGAGCTTTCACTAGAATGGTGGTTGTAAGGTCCCTTCTCTTCCCAGGGATGCCATTGCATAGTGTCACCTTCTTCCCTAATGACAGCTACAAGGGCCTCTTTTTGCCCTTCAGAACAAAAAGAGTTAGCAGTTTGAAGCGATGGGCAATGGACTGGTGCCACCTTATGGGGGGCACGTGCACCCCCAGCGACCAGTCAGCAACTGAGAGGGGGTCCCTCCACGGCCAATCTCGCTGACCGGAAAGCAGCCACAGTGCTCCTGGAAGCGGCTGCGGCACTCCCAGAAGTGGCTGAGGTGCTCTCACTCCCTGGCCAGCACTCACAGGGGGGTCACCAGTGCTCCTGCATGTGCCCCCTGACCATCGCCTAAGCAGGGAGCACCACCTGTCAGGGGGTGCACCAGCACTCTCAGGGGGTGTATGTGAACCCCCGTGCACCCTCTATGTGTCACCGCTGTAAGAGTAGCCCTAACAGCTGGGGAGTAGCTGCTTGATAGGTGGACTAAACCCATTGCATGCTTTTCCTCTCCATCACAGAGTCCTCTGCTGTGGAGGGGTAGGTAGACCCCACCCCAAAGCAACAGGTTTGGGGTTAACTTCCTATTGTGATGAATGGAGTGTTCTTTGGTCTTGCAGCTGCTGTTTCAAGCTCTCTGCAGATGTCACCATATCAGTTAAACACCGGTCACATTTTTCAAGCATCTGTTTACAAGTTTTTTGAAAGGAAGTCCATAAATTTAATCTCATCATATGACTCCAGAAATGAGGGCTCAAGGCAAAGGCATAAAATGTCTGCCCTTTAGTAGAATGAACTGTTACAATCATTCTGTGTGATCTCCTGTATATATGGACAGAAGGATTTCAGAAATTGTTTTCTGCATAAAGGGTATAACTTTTGGCTGAGCTACAGTATGTCTTCCAGGAAGACAAGCTGCTTTTGGAAAGAGATTCAATATGACTTGAGGAATGAAAGGAATTTTAGTTTTGTTGTGCATCTCACTTATGTCCTTTATTCTGTCTTCTTTTTTGCATTTCCCAGAAGCCTTATAGACAGCTGCTTTTAAGGGGTGTTAACTACCAGTAAATCATGCTAGTGTGGCTCTGGGATCTGCTCAGAACAGGGAGCAGTAGTACTGAAATACCCTCCATCCTCTTCTTTGGCTAGGGACAGAAATTACACATAAACCAGTATAAGTGATCAGAAACTGGTTCAAATCTGTACCACAACAGAAGTTCAGTGCATATAAACCACTTCCAAAATGCCCAAAACCAGTTTAAGATAAACCTGGATGGATGTAGTATCAGACTTACCTGATTTAGGTGAATCAGTTTATTGAAATTCTGTCCCAGATCCTCATGTTATTTGTTTTACAGTGGTGTCCAAAAGCCCAAACCAGGACTGGGGTCCTAATGTGGTAGGCACTATGAATGCTTATAGATGTGCTGGACGTCTACTCTGATACACTGTATAACAGCACATTGGAGCAGACTCAATTAATCGAGTCTGCTGGAATGTACTAATTAGCATGCTCTAGCAGCCACAGCGTCTCATGTATTCAGCGTCACTTTGCTTCAAAATGGCAGCAGGGCTGCTTTAACTAAAGCTCATCAAGCAAGCTTTAGTTAAAACTGTCCCACCCACAATTTTGAGGCGTGGGGTGTTGAGTACATAAGACATTGCAGGCGCTTTAATGAAAGCAGCTCCTAGGAGCCCTGCCACTCACTCGCAGAACACGTGTAAAGATGCCCTATAAGAATAAACTAAATATAGTCCCTGCCTCAAACCATTGGCAATCCAAGAGGTTACAACCTATGGGCATGTCTACCCACATGTCACTGCTGAGACTTCAGTTTGTGTAGGCATATCTGAACGCAAGCACTGAACTCAGCACAGATGGCCGAACCAATCTAAGAACATGGGCAAGCAACCCAGGCATTTAGCCTGCACTGAACTCCATGCTACCACAGATCATAGATATATATGTAGCAGTAGATAAGCTACTTATTTTTAGAGATGTACTTCATTCACAGTTTAAAGGATTTTGCGGAAACCGCAACATCTGGGATTGTCTACAAAATTCACAAAATCTGCAAAATCAACAGCAAAAAAAAAAAAAAAAGCTTAATCAAAATCAGTGGGACCCAGCAGTCCTCACTGCCAGGAGGAGAAGGCGCCGGCTGGCAGAACAGCACAAAAGGCAGCTAGCAGACAAGATGGTGGCTTCCCCTTTGTCCCTCCTCTCCCCACTGGGGCCTCTCTGCCAATCAGCAGAGAGGCAGGACTGCATGACGGGTAGCCAGCAATTAAGATGGCAGCCACATGAAGGGTAGCCAGTATGAAGGGTAATCAGCAATCAAGATGGTGGCCACACCTTCATCCATCCTCTCTCCCCCAGGGACCTCTCCGCCAACTGGCACCAAGAGGCAGGGCTGCACAAAGGGCAACCAGCCATCAAGATGGCAGCTGCCCCCTTGTCCCTCTTCCCCCTGCACCTGCACCCCCGACCTTTCTGCTAATCAGCACCAAGGAGCAGGGCTGCTGTGAAATGCCCGCGGGATCAGCTCTGTGCTCCACAAGTGGGCCATGAAAAACTATTTGTCTCACTGCAGTTTAGGCAGGTCCCTAGTCATTTTAAAGCCAACTTAAATATAAATATATAAGCGGCAGAATTTGGGCTATATGCAGGTTATATACACACACATATGTATAAATGCTCTGACCCACAACTCCCACATGTACAAATCCTTGTTCCTGAGCAGACTTTATTAAAGAAAAGACTGCTTGAATATCACCACTGCAGCTGTAATTTCACTGAAAAATAAGGAAAAAAATTCCCATGTATAGACAGACTTGTTGCTAGTCAAAATTTACCCTGACACCCTTCATAGTTGGCAGGAAGTGGTAAAGTCTATTTAACGAAAATGACGTTATTTTTTCAAATATAAAAAAATATCTGAGAAAAACATGTGGTCTAGCCTCATCCTTTTTTTTTTAATGATCTCAAATTCACCAGTGATATATATTAGAATGTATGTATATAAAATGTATTTTAAGAATTGTATTTCAATCTGTACTGTATTTCACCCACAAGTACTTTATTATTACATGTCACTTTTACATACAATACTCCATTTTCATAGGGTCAATTAAATCATCCTGTAATAATATTGCCAATCAAGTAATCAGAGAAAACTACAAAATTTTACTATGATTACTCACTATGTTAACCATAAGCAGGTAGGATTCATAACTCAAACTACAACAACACGCCCAGAGTAGTTTCTTACACAGCTTTGGTCTCTTTTAGTGGATTCTTTTATTCACTGGTAGTTTCTTCAGTGACTAAACTCAAAGTACTGACCTTTTGCCAAGATAAATCAACAGTCCTGATGGCATCTCTACTTCAGCCAACTTTTCTATCAAAACTTCCTGTTTCTTTTTATAGGGGTTCCATCTTATCCCTATTGAGTGTGAGCTAATAAGATCCACCTGGTGTTGCTACTAGAGTGAGTCAATAGAGTAACACTGTATTTTTCGCCTTGTATTTGTAATATGCTATTTCCCTTTAGAGACAGGGAAACCCCTCGCTACAGTACCCTGGAAGCAGGGTATCTGGCCTTCATGTTACAAAAGGAATATTTTTGCAAATGATATATGAAGGAATATCAGTCTGTGATGCACATTCTTTGGTTAGGAATTGTTATAATACATTATCTAGATAAATGGAATGCTTTCATTTGATCATTTGGTATGTTTCTCCCATTATGATTTAAATAAGTCTTAAAATGATTTTTCTTTGCATTTATTGTAGAATTTGCTAATTTTTGGATATGGACTATAAAAACTCTCAAGTCCACAGCCTCAGCTCCAAGTTTTAGTGAGAATCCACACTGCTATCACAATAGATTAAACTCCACAACATTAACAAAACTGTGTCTTTTTTGCAACCATGTGCATTTATGCCGCAAGACATCAGTAGCTAAGGGATTTGTCTGAGATGTTAAGCTGAACGGACACATTTCTTCATAGCTGCGGTAATTATGAACACTATGGAAAGGCTTTAGCCAATAACAGCCCAGAAGAATCAAATGCTGTTCTCTTGGAAACTACACTGAATTTTGTATTGACACTTCAAGTGTGCAGTCATCTTGTTCCAATGCTGCAAAACCAGTCACTCATTTATTTACTGAAGGGAAAAATCATTCATTTAGAAGACCTTTACACAATCCTTTACACTGTATAAGCACTGCTTTTGGCTCGCTAAAAGGTGGACAACACATAAGTTACATACAAGGACCCCACAGACAGACTGTTGCTTCATGTACCAGAGAGGAAGTTACTGGTGGACTAGACCTATGCTCATATGGATTTACTAGTTCAAATCCCCCCATGGGTATTAAAAAAGGTACTAAAAATGTCAAAGCTATACTATCAGCATAATCAGAAATGAATTACAGTATGATTCACAAAGGAATTGGCAAGTGAATTTAACTGTCACACCCGCTAAGCCCTATCTGTTTACTTTATGTCCCACCCCAAAGAAAACCTACAAAAACAGTGGTCCCAATATTGCAAACACCCACAAGATTGAAAGTTTTGGGGTTTTTTTTTTTATTGTGCTTTGTCTGGTTGTAATGGGGTCCCTACCCCATTACTAAGAGGAAGAGGGTGCCCAGAGTCAGCTGACTGGCCCCAGCTTCTTGAACAGATTTATGATGGCAAAGGGGCCTTAAATAAAATAGCCACCTGCCCCAGGTGCAGGCGGTGATTTACAGGCCTGGGGTGGAAGTGGAGAGTCAGATGACCCAGGAAAAGACTCATATGCCCAGGGCCTTGCTCAGAGAGGGGAGTCTGGTCAGAGGAGGGAGAGCCCCAGGGAAGAGCCAGTCTGAGCTGTTTATAAAGGTAGGACTCTGTACCCCAAGCAGCAACAGTTTAACATCTCAAGCCTTTGTAGTAGTGCTACTGCATAGTGAAATTAACCCCAGGAGGGGAACCTTTTGTTTTAGGAGTGGATGCTCATGTTTTTAGCTTGCATTTAAACCTGAGGATCAGATATGGCTGAAAAAGTAGGACTGGAGGCCACTAGAGTGCTGCAGGGGCACCCAACACAGAGCACTTCCATGGCCTGAAGCCCAGTGAGCTACATGACAGCAGAAGCCCAAATGCTTCAGGAGATTGGTTGCTTGTCAGATTGTTGCCCTGTGGGGTCAGGCCAACTCTCAGGATCTCAATATTGCGCTGTTAGACAGGAGGGTGTGACACAATTGCACATATACAAACACACAAATCAATTAGGGGGGCAGATAAGTGGTAGCAAAGAGGAGACAGCCAGGAAAGAAACTGAGGCAGAAACCTGGTTGCTTAGGGGAAAAGGAGCTCAGGACAGGTACTGGAGGTGGCAGTGAGCCAGAAGAAGGAGTGGGAGAAATGAGACAGAGGTTAGAGGGGCGAGGAGTAGAGATTGAAGTAGGGCCAAACCATAGTAAAGCAAAACCCAACTTAGGGGTCCAAATAACAGTTGTATTAAACAGCCCCACTACACAGCCCCATGAAGTTATTGGTTCACACACGCACACAAGCACTCACAATGGCAGCAGGAGAAAGAGACTTAGTGAAAGTGCTGGAGTCTAGATGGGGAAGAGAAGCAGAGTCCAAGTCCTTGATTGAAGAGGGGGTGGGGAGTGATAGCTACCTATCCAGGCTGGAAAGGGGTCCTTGTCCAGAGAGGGGTAGCCAGCAGGGCCTCTGGGTGGATAGGTGGTGTGGCATGGTGCTGGTCCAGATGGAGAGGGCATCCCAAGGAGTCAGTCTTCACTTCCCCTTTTTATGGGGCAGACTACCTCTGATCTCCTATGGGGAGGGCCTGTCCAGGCAAAGTTAGTCCTGTCCCAGAGGGCTCCAGGTGTTCTTACTGAGCATGTGCAGCCAGGCACAATGGTGGGTTGCCTCATCTTTTGTTTCTTGAATGCTGAGGGTGGTTCCAAGGGCTGGGTGGTTGGTCCAGGTATTGGTGTTGATGGTTCGGTCATTCAGAGGGAGCTATTTTTAGACCTACTGCCATTGTCTCTCAAGCACCCTCTTTCATCCCCATTCATTCAGGAACCAAGTTACATAGGAGGGGTAGGTGTGAGTCATGCGTTACACAACCGGGCCTGGGGACAGGATGGAGATTTGACAAACAAAAATGAAACTCGACATGACTTATGCTAACTTACATATGTAGGCCTAAATCATATAGTACCAGTAAAACAGTAATATAGAACTGTAACAATCAATATAAACATAATAATTATGCAATATAAAGAAGGAGAAAAAACAAAACAAATACAACTTGCTACCAAAATAAAATGCTGAAGCTTATCCCATGTCTTACCTCACTTATACTTATCTATAGGGAATAGAAAGGGAAAGAAAAAGTCAGAAATTGTTGGGGAAGGGGAGGGAATGCATTTTAAAAGGAAAAAAAAAAAGAAAAATTTGGGGCTTTGGTACAAGATAACTAAGCACCTAGCAGTGAAGACATGGGGAGGCGCAAGCCCAAAGCCAGCAGAGACCAAAACCAGGGGGCTGAGGGGCCCAAAGCCCGCAAGGGGCAAGTTGGGGTCTGGGAGCCTGGGGTTCTGATACCTTGGGCAGAAAAACTCAGCTAGATTAAAGTGGTCCAAGGCCTGGGGTGGGGCCTCAGCGCAGAAAAGGACCTACCCCCAAAACCCATTTCTGCCCCCTAGGGGCTGACTTCCTATGAAATTATAACATCAGGGCATATCAGGTGAGATAATGGAGTGGGTGAACCCTGAGAGGCCAGAGGGGTAATGAGGTAGGGGCTGGGAGAGGAGATCTTGCCACTCTGGTAACCAGCCACGTTACATTTGTCCATCACATAATAAGATCAATATTTGATTTATGTCCAATAAACAGCTTCTGATTCTACCATCATTTCATAGTTTCATCTTGGCTTCCTTGCAATATTTCGATTATCCCTTAATCCAGAGATCTGCAACATTTTTGGGCAGAATGCCAAAAACACCAGCAACCTTGACTTGTAAGATGTTGGCATGCCAGGGGCGGACAGCAGGGGTGATCCTTGCTGGGGGCCCAGGTTTTGTTGTGGCAGTGCAGCCCTGTTTCCTTCCCTGCCATCCACCCCAAGGTGCGCAAGCACCCATGCCCAGCAACCAGCTGGCCCGGGGCTCTGCCACACCTCAGTACAGCTGTTTGCAGTCTCCCAGCTGCTTGCCACACAGGTTTGGGCTCTGGACAGGCTACAGGCCCAGGCTGCGTATAGCAGATGGAGGGGAGGCTGCAAGCAGCTGCACGGGTCCGTGGAGCAGAGCTGACCCTAGGAGGGGTGCGGGACCTGGGGCATATCAGCCTGTGTGGGGCCCCCTTAACACTGTGTGGGGCTGTGGTACCCCTGCAAAAGGGGGGGCAGCCTCCATGCTTTTTCCGTGCTATGGGGCTGAGCCACTAGCTCTAAGCGGGCCCCGTGGGAGGGGCTGTGGCCACTCCTCCCAGCTTTGTGGGCCCCCCCCAAGTGCGGGGCCTGGGGTGGTTGCCCCAGTTCACCATACCCTAGGGACAGCTCTGCCATGGAGCCCCAGCCTGGCTCACTGTTGGCAGTAGGTACACGCATGCCTCAGGGCAGATAGCAGAGAAGGGGTGGACTGGGAGCACTGGTGGGTTCCATCTGGCTGTGTGGAGGCAGGGAGGGTAGGGGGGCAAGATGGCCCCAATGCAGCCCCTCAGGGGAATGGAGCTTGACCCAGCCCCATAGAGAGGAAGGGGGCATAGCCCAACCCAGTCCTGGGTGGCAACAGAGTATGGCCAGGCCCCAAACCAGCCCCAAGGGGAAGGGAGTGTGGCCCAGCCCCAATGTGAGGGAAGGAGGTATAGCCTGGCTCTGTAGGGGAAGTGGAGCATGGCCAGATCCCAACCCAGCCCTGCAGAGAGGAAAGGGGGCATGGCCCACCCCCACCCAGAAGCGGGGGATGTGGCCCAGCCTTGCAGGGGAAAGGGTCATATCTCAGCTCTAATGGTTGCTCAGAAAATTGGGTTTGGGAATTTGGCAGCGGGGGGCAGGGTGACCATATTAAAGGCCACTACTCTCCCACTGCTAGATTTCCGGACCCATGGGGAGCCCTATGGGCCAGATACAAGGGCTCTGTGGGCTGCATTTGGCCTGCAGGCCAGAGGTTGAGCACCCCTGTTATAATTCATATAATTAGAGACCTACCAAATTCATGAGTCCTGGTGGCCAATTACACAGCTGTAACATGGCTGGAGCCCCTGATATCATGGCCGGGGGTGCCATTTTGAAGGCGGAGCAAAGCAGGCCCCACAAGACTCTGGCTGAGGGGTGCTGCAAGTCCTATCCCTCCCAGGCATTGATTAAAAGCTCTAGCTGGAGCTTCCTGGCTTGCTAATTCAGTAATTATCACCTGCTTCAAGGGTGGGGGGCAAAAATTACTGAATAGCAAACAGTTTAAGTGTGGCACAGACAAGTAGGCATGCTGCAGCAGTGTACCTGCACACATCTTTAAATTCCCAGGCTGACCCCTGACTGGCTCCTGGACTGAGCCGATATCAAGGGCTCAGCCTCTGATTTGCTCCATTCCAGCTGTCATCCTGCCCCCCCCAAAGAAGGGGACTTTTGGCAGTTTTTCCCTGCTTCCCCCCCTCCCCTTCTGGAGAGAGAGAGATGGGAACTTTTCCAATCTTTCTCCCTGCTCCCCACTTCAGGAAATAGGCAGTCTGCCTTTTTTTTTCTCTTTACTCCCTTGCCCCTCCCTCTGCCCTTCTAGGAGACAGCTTTTTTCTGGCTCTTTGCCAGCTTTTTTAACATAGCCAGTCCCCTGTGCTTTTTCACAGGGAACTGGCTATTTCACTGGAGACTGCCAATTACATGATTTTCATTAAATTCCATGGCTTCATGTATTTGGTAGGTCCCTACATATACTTCTGCCAAGTGGACTCTCTTTCCGTGGGGATATTTTACAATATTTGTTAAATATTGATGATAAATACAATAATGTAGACTAACACTGAGAAATAAATTTGATATGAAATGGATGATCTCTGGTTTGCAAAGTGGAATTAAAAGTCCTGAACTACCTGAACAGCTAGTAGATATAATAGTCACTGACAGAACAGCGTATTTATGTATTGTGAGTAGAATTATTCCAAATCTTGGTTTTAACTGTAAAAAAAAAATAATCAGAAGAAATATTTTCAAGGGAAAAATAGATTAAGTAAATATTTGCTTTTTTACACAATTAGTCCCTCTTTATCTAAAGCTTATTTTTCCATTTTCAGTACAAATTAATGCAACAAAATTTGCCGTAACTATTTTCAGAAGGTAAAGCACACATTTAAATCAAATGGCAGTGGAGTGTCAGATACATTACTACAGGGGTGTAGGTTGTAGCTGTGTTGGTCTAAGGACATAGGCAGACAAGGTTCTTTGGGTGAATCTGGTATCTTTTATTAGACCAACTAAATAGTTGGAGAACAATTTTTAAGCAAGCTTTCGGGTTCAAAAATATAGATACATTACTAAATTTCTATCAGAGTATATTCAGTTAAAATGACTGAGATCTGAAAAATTGATATGATTATCTCAAACACTAAATTCAAACCCCATAAAATATAA